TCAACTTCCCCTTACGATACACTATCAGAACTGAAAGAATGAATCATACAGGGCACATAGAATGGAGGAAATAGACCACAAGAAAATTAGTGTTTCAAGTGTAACTTGTAAGAACATGTTGCAAGAAACCACAGAATAAAGCCTCCATGGAAAACGAGCTCCTCCTAGAGGATACTAGAAAAAGGAAACTGTTATAATTGTGGGAAATATGGCCATTACAGCTGAGATTGTAAGGATTCAACAGTTGCTATTAAGCCAAGAAGACAATATCCTGAGGATGTGACTGAGAGCCCAGGCAGATCAAAGGAACAACAAAGAGCTAACCAGACATAAAAAAGACGGGAACTAACTAGATGTATGTGGCGAAGCTCAGTTCGGACTACTCTATTTACCCCAAATGAGATAGGAAGTTCATCATTTGAGGATAATCAACCACGAGTTCAAAGGTTTATTGATAAGATATCTTACAATTTATTGATCGACGCTGGTTCTAAAGCTATAAGTTTTTGACCCAAATTGATAACGACAGATGCGAATTATCGCGTCTATTAGCAAGGAAACTCTGCAAGAAAATTTATTTGTAAGTTAGGAGTACACAATATATTATCGGAATTTCTGTTGAAACGTTATTAGTGTACATTAGTCCTACAGTAATTACAGTAGCAGCTTTTAAAAAGTTTTGTATTTGAAGTTAGGCTTACAGGTGCAAGTGGCTGTAGACGAAATATATTAGTTTGTTTATTGTTACGTGGACTGGATCTGTTGAAATTGTTAGTAATCTATATCTGTAGAGCAGAATTTGACTACAGGAGTATACATTTCTATTGTACTATGACTGTCGATATATTTAGACATCTATATATGTGTAAGACAGTGTGACCCGATTGATATACATATTTTGCGTACAATGGTTGTGGATCATAGTTAGACTGAAAGAAAACCAGTAAGCAGGGTACCATAACTGTGCAACACTGAGTAAAGATAAGTTCAATATAAAGTACTCTTGTTTTGGACCACTGACTGAATGTAAAGAGAAACACAAACGGGTAGTAATTATAGCTATAAAAACGAAGTAGGTTAGAAACACGAATGGGTAGTAATTATAGCTGTAAAAACGAACTAAATTTGAAACACAAATGGGTAGTAATTATAGCTGTAAAAACGAACTAAATTTGAAACACAAATGGGTAGTAATTATAGCTATAAAAACGAAGTACGTTAGAAACACAAATGGGTAGTAATTATAGCTGTAAAAACGAACTAAATTTGAAACACAAATGGGTAGTAATTATAGCTGTAAAAACGAACTATGCTAGAAACACAAAGGGGTAGTAATTATAGCTGTAAAAACGAACTAAATTTGAAACACAAATGGGTAGTAATTATAGCTGTAAAAACGAACTATGCTAGAAACACAAATAGGCAGTAATTATAGCTGTGGAACACGGAATCGCTTAGAAATACAATAGTTATTAATTATAGTTGTAAAAACAAACTAGGCTAGAAACACAATGAAAAGTAATTATACGGAATAGCTTAGAAATACAATGGATAGTGCTAAGTAACTATGAACCACGGATTAATAAAGAAACACGAGGCTTAGTTATAAATATCTTTAGAGCAGAGTGTAGCATAAGAACTTGGGTTGTGGTAATCAATAACTGTGAATCACAGACTGATTGCAACAGCTTAAACGAGTTCTGGTTCATCATAAACCTGGGCCAGTAGAAATTAATAAACATATCTCTACCGCCCATGAGGCTTCTGAAACTGTGGGCAACATTTCCGAGGAGATTTCACATTAGACAATAAAATGAAGTACATATATACCTCAGTTAATTAAGATTTACTAACATATTTCGATAGTATAAAAACAAATGCAGCATTTATAGTATAGTATAGTATAGTCGTTCTCTATAGGAAGATAAGTCTCATTTATTGCTTCAGGTTCTCTTTCATAAAGTTTAGAGAACACTCCCAAACATACTTCAATTATCAAGATATATTTTTTATAGGTATGCTCTCTGATAGTTCGTATGCATGTATACATACACTTGCATTTTTTCATGTGTTGTGATAATAAAATTTAATGAGTTGAATATCTTGCAATATTTAAAGAATTTGTGGGTTATTAGATATTGAATAAGGATCGCCCTGAGGGTAGGCCTGTACTACTAAATTAGGTGTAAAAATATATATATGTGTGTATATAAAGGTGTGATCTTCTCTAGCGTAATAAATATATATAAATATTCAAAGCACCACCAGGTTAGGAATATCTTATTTTCGATTTCTGTAGATTGATAACATTTTCGCAACTTTAACACTGCTCTTCTTATAGTGCTATATGTACAGGAGGCAATTAAAGTTTTCTCTTTAATATTAACATGTAAACCTGGTGGTTGTTTGGAAATTTATGTATGTACATATACATATATACTTACAAGTGTTTTCCACTTTACTCGAGGCTGGTAGTATATATTTCGTCAAATAGCACTGTTTAAAGTACGAGAGGTTCAAACCACCATGGCGGACGTAGGACCAGAACAGAAAATATAAATGCAGAATTTAAAGGCTGCGCTTTTTTCTGGTCATCTGATGAGAAACTATAATGTTTTACAACCATGCTTTCTATGTGACCCTATCAAAATATATTCTAACTGCAAAAAATATTAATGTACTTGCGATTCAACGTATTAGAGGGGCGTGACCATTCGTTTACATGTCAGCCTGCAGATTAGAGGGTTCAAGGAATGAGTAATGATATGCCGCTAAAACACGCTCCGCACTTGCTGCTGTTGGAAAGTAATAAGTGTGATAGTCAGTCCCAATATTCGTTTAGAGTAGCCACGAATACAGTTGGTGCTGCTGATTGGTTGCCCTCTCTCTTTGATCAACAATTCTAAAAGAGGTATGAGTTTGACTTAACCTTGGGGTCATCAACTTACTCACTTAGAACATGCTTTGCACAAGGTGCTGTTCAGGCTCAAAATACCAAATTCTGTACTTAAGAAGTATACTTGACCGTAACAGAGTTTTATTGTTTAATACGTTGAATATATTATAAAACTGCTATCCTTATTTATAATAGTTTTAATAAGCTTTATAAAACATCTACTTTTGGTTCTGTATTACTTTGAGCATATTGTAAAGTCGCTATCCTAATTTATTAAAGATTTAATAAGTTCAGCAGACGTTTCTATTATTCATTATTTATTACTTTGAGCTTGTTATTAAACTGCTGTTCTATTTTTGTAAAGTATTAATAAGTAAGTTTATATCTTTCTGTATGACTTTCTTACATATTTTTACTATGTTGTATTGAAAAATACATTTTCTCAATAATTTCAACTTTAGCGTTTCATGAAAATCAACTGGATTGTGTAATAAGACAGAAGAATTCCGCATATATATATATATTCGTTTTAAGAAAATAAGTTTTGATTACATCAACTTATAACTTAAGTAAAGTTTATCAAAACAAGTTCTAAGGAAGTGAAAGTCCGGAAGTATTATAATCCCTGCATGTAACTACAACCTGTTAATAAAAAGTTCATCTGTCCGTGCCTGAAAGATACATATGGTTGAAGCTTAACTCCGGTTTTGCGTAGTGCAAGCGAATGAAAATTTTGACACATTTCTACTCAACGTGATGCCAGTCCAATGCAGGTTAACCTCCAACTATTAGCTGGCACTCAGTTTACAGCTGGTTAAACTAAAGTAAGTGTAAGTAAAGTGTCTTGCACAATGACACAACAACATAGCACGCGCAAACTTCGAACCCGCAACCTTTCGAATATGTATACAAAGCCCTAATCACTTGGCCACGCTTGTTAGTGCACTGTAATTGTAAGACAAAGATCCACTGTTGGTACGCGTAAACAGAAGTGTGGTGTAATACGTAGAGATGTAATGCACACACACACACACACATATATGTAAAGAAGTACTCGTATAATTAGTATGTAATCACTGGAATGAATAATAAGATGTGGCCCGGCATGGCCAGGTGGTTAGGGCGCTCGACTCGCAATCTGAGGGTCGCGAGTTGGAATCCCCGTCACACCAAACATGCTCGCCCTTTCAGCCGTGGGGGCGTTATAATGTGGCGGTAAATCGTTGGTAAAAGAGTAGCCCAAAAGTTGGCAGTGGGTGGTGATGACTAGCTGCCTTCCCTTTAGTCTTACACTGCTAAATTAAGGACGGCTAGCGCATATAGCTCTCGTGTAGCTTTGCTCGAAATTCAAAACAAACAAGCTAATAAGATATCTCTTTCTCATTATGTTATATAAAATGTGCAAATAAATGACCTAATCTCTTTCCATTGTATACCATCCATATGACGGCGAAGTCCAAGTTAACGTTTCATCAGGAACCAGTCACATTTATTCTTCATTCCGTTACCTAATTTTTTTAGTTGATATATGGAGATATCTACCTTTAAAAAACGTTCTTAATTTTCGAAAATATTTTGCAAGTTTTGTAAAATATTGCTATTATTTGGTTTTCATTTATATTAGTGTTCTCTGGATTGAATATGATAGTTTTTGTATTTCAATAAGTTACAAAAGACCAATGTATAAAAATTCTATAATTTAAAGGTTCATTGGCTGAAAAAGATGTTTACTGTGTCCACCACTGGTATCGAAACCCGGTTTTTAGCGTGATAAGCCTTCAGACTTACCGCTGAGCTACTGGGGGGGAGGCAAGAAAAATATAAGTCATAACATAAAATAAAGTAGATTTAAGAAATCAATTGTGTTGAAAGAGAAAAACTACCTGATCATTTAATTATGTTAAAAGTTAATTTAAATAATACATTGTAATATTTCTGTGTATAATTTTATGTATATTTCTACTAAAACTATTATAGATTCACATAATATTTTCACACGAACATATCACAATCATTTGAAGGGAAAAAATGTTATATATATATTTATTATAAATCTTGTATGACAGATAATTTGCTAATAATGGATCCAGATAGCTTCGGAATTACTGCATTCACTGGAAATATTGAAGTAGTAGGCTTAAGCACGTTCCAACCATTAAACAAAGTCTGGCAACAGTTGAAAATTAATCACTGCTGTATCGAGAAGATTTAATTATTGTGAAAAATAAAACAAGTTTAACGAGCGAACATGTTACTCTTAAGCATCAAGTAACGTAATTAATGTTTATCCCTGATCCAGGACGTAAAAAACGTAAGTTTTATCTGACAGTAAGTGTAACTTTCATAGATTTGTTGAGCAAAATACAGCGTATCAGTGGAGTTCAAGCTGGACGAGAGTAACTCATTGTAGAACTGGGGAAGAAATAAAACTACCTATTTAATTATTAGTGTATATAATATACAAACATTAAAGACAACCTACAAACAAAACAACACGGCCATGATATAAAGAAACGAAGTTTCAAAGTAGACCCAGTAGAAAATATTCAAAGATATTGCTCATATTGTTCACAAATAGAAATTACCGTTTGAAACTCACTGTTAAATTTAAAAAAGTTTTGTTTTTCTAGTTTTTGCGCTTATTTTCTAATAGTAATTTTTTTAAACGTTATATAAAATGATTTAAAAATGAGTAAAAAAAACTGAAAGCAATCACAGCTTTATTTGCAAATGTTGAACTACATCCAGTTTTGTAAATATTTACTTTAAATATTATTGGAGGAAAACTAATATTTAAACGTTTATATAACTTCTAGCATTACTAGAAGCAATATCTGGATGAAGGCTTTTATTCGTATTTTATTTCTTATAAAGTGATAATAATCAAGACGTTTCTTGAATTAAGATAAAATTGCGTTTTTGATTTAATACAAGAGAAAAAATACAAATGTAATTAAATCCCATTTTAACTTTTATAGTAATCAACTCGAGGAATTCATTTATTTTTACAAATCTAATATTCCACATTAAAGCTATTAGAGCGGCTGACCTTGCGATAAATTAATTACTTCTGTGATCCGTGCTATATTACAGTTAGGCGGAAGAATAACGAAACTGGCTTTAATTCCTCTAGCATGATATACTTCAATGTCATAAAACTATCCGTTCACTTGAGCAAAGAAAAAAAACAGATCCTGCTCTTATAAGATCCAATTTACATTTTAAGTCAGCGAAAGTCAAATTCCTATACTAACGTAACAGGTGTGTATAGTAGGATAGATAAGTAATACATTTCAAAGTAAACAAAACAAACTTGGATTCTCAACGGCCTTACGTTACAAGTAAATTATTGCTCTCTGATCGATTGGAAGAAACTGTTGCAGAACTAACAATAAAATTTTTACAGTGCACTGAAGCGTTTTAATGGCAAGAGTTCACATCGTCTTATAAATAACGTTAGTGTTTTTGCAATAAATATATCACTTTTAAATTCAGAACAAAAATTTTAGGTTTTATATTGTTTCTCTTCCTAGAAACTATACACCTGTGTCCATTATTTCCCTCCTACATATAGAAGTATGTTACAGGAAAGGGAAAGCAAAAACTGGTCACATGGGAGTAGTACCATTGTACTATAAAGGTTATAATAGCTATCCTGAGTTACAAGTAATAAGGACAAGTCACAGTCTATATGGAGATTATAATTGTTTCTTTCCAGTTTTAACTTCTTCAAAACGCTTCAGCTAAATTTATACTTAATTATATAATTCTATACTATGTATAAAGAAAGAAGGTACACTTCAGTGTACCAAATTAGGTCAGTGTTTTTTAAGCTAAAGCTACAGAAATGTGTAAATGAAACTACATTAATTCAGTAAATATATCATAATTTTCTAACAATTTTTTTCAAAATATGTCAATAACTTTTTTTTACTTTTGCATCATTTGCAGTTGCAAATCATCACAATTAAATATTGCAATAAGAGGATCAGAGGTTTTAGCCGGTGAAATCTCAGACCAAGATAATGGTTAAGAAGCAAGGTAAATGGATGTGTAAGTTGTTATTACAGGCTATGAGCAAATTTTGTACATTTACTAAAGATGCATATTTTAAATTGCTGAAAATATTTCAACAATGTATATATAACTTTAACGTGAAATCTAAAAAAAAAAGGTAACTGAAATTATGTTCTACATCAGTTGATCTACACATGAAAATGTGCTAACGAGTCGTCGTAAGCTCCCCCCTCCCCACCCCACCCATCGTCTACTAAGGACTCACGCTAAGTTTGAGCTTTAATGAGTTTATATATTAAACTATATATTCGGTTAAACCTCCTTATTGTCTCTGTTATAAAACAAAGCAAAAATTATTAGCTGGATATTAAACCCTATTTGACACGCGTTGGTTCTGTTTGACTTAAACAAGAATATTATATACATGATGTAAATAAACTATAACTGAAGAACTTTGTTCTACATTTTCAACTTAAAATATATCTTTAAACAATGGCAGCAAGGCATGATTAATTACCGTAAATGTCATTAATGTGATTTCACCGACGTAGCATTATTATCAATCACGCAATCAGGCGGCTTATTAGGTGATTCGTAGCTGTCAATTTTTGCTAATATTTTCATAATAAAAGAACGAATAAAAATTACTTCTCTGTATCATTAATTACATGCAAAATGAGAAGAAACTTTACAAAGAAAAACTATCTTAGGTACAAAATATAAGTGTTTCTCAGATTTTATCAGAACATGGCTTCAACCACGACTGTAAAAACAGTATCACTTCGAGATCATAGGACAAGGCAGTACCAACTATAGTCATAATGATATTACGAATATAGTAAAACCAAACCATGCTTTTACTGAATTTCCGAAGAACAAACTACAATATAAAATTTTATTATAACAAAACCTTTCGGAAGACACTATCACTTACGTTGGGGGGAAGGGGCAGTTATTTTGATGTAAAATTAATTAATTCGAAAGAATTAATTAATCATCAAGGGTGTTCGAAGATTAAGCAATCTTCCTTCACCCCGCGCGAGACTAAAGAATATAAGTACCTGAGAGTTAATTTTAAGTCTGTTCGAGCCATTGGGCTGATTCTAACTAGACTTGTAGTTGAATAGATACATACATATACAAATATATATATATATATAAACATACATGTACATATATATACATGTAAAAAAACCGAGACAGGCAGACATACGTGAAAGCAAAGGCAGAGTCGAGTCGAGGCAGATTGAAGTGAAGATTTCTTTGTAATTAAGCACAAAGCTACACAAAGGGTTATCTGTGCTCTGCCCACCACGGGTATGGAAACCCGGATTCTAGCGTTGTAAGTCCGCAGACATACCGCTGTGCCACTGGGGGACTGAAGTGAAGGATAAGTCGAGAATTAATTGTTGACAAAGTATCGAAACAAACGGGCCAATCACGTTCATAGGCGAATACGATTTTATTGCGCAGAAACTTTTAAAACAGCATAACACCAACTACACTTTTAAAAAGAAATTAAAACTTTAGTATTATAGAACCTTTAGTGTCAACACAACAGTGGTTTGTTTGTTTGTTTTTGGAATTTCGCGCAAAGCTACACGAGGACTATCTGCGCTAGCCGTCCCTAATTTAGCAGTGT